TACATAGTTTATTCTATGTCAGTTATACCTCAATAATTTTTGGCTGGTACATCTAATTCTATAGGATCTCATGATAGTGAATTTCCTTGAAGCTACATGGTTATTACTTCTAGTTTAAGCATTACATGAAAACATTTAGATACTAGAAAGTCCTATTGATGTTAAGCATAGACTTTCATTTAACATTATTTTCTTCTTAGAAGATCAGTAGGATAATTTTTTTTGAGAAATTCTGACACTTTCTGACACTTAAGTGGTTTAATTTTATTTGATGTGATACCCTTTAAAAAATGATTGATACCAAATACCTCTGCTAACTTCACTATAGCAAAGAATTATTAATTAAGTTCTTCAGTTAAAAAATAAGCTTACTAGACTGTATTGGAGCATAATTTAATATAGTTTGAAATATATGCATAACCAAACAGTTATCTTTTTATTATGTTATTTCTATTTCTTGAAGCACAATACTCCATTTAAAGATTTTTTTTTCTCCCTAGGCAAAGATTTCAGTCCTTTTTAATTTAGTCTTTTTGGGCATGTTGCAGATATTCTCCCTGTGTTTTTCAGGTCTATTGTAGTCAAGCCAATTTTTCATTTTCTTTGCTTCTCACCTGTTTCTGTCTATTTATTTGTGTATAAGATGTCAAAGGAAAATGAAAAGTAACACCTCAAAATACCACCTTGAAAAAGAAAATGCCAACAAATTCTTTTCTGCACCTGAAGCTTTTAATTCTTTAATCCACCAAGGAATGTTGCTTAATTACATATTTTATTATGCATAACTGAAAATTATGTACTTTAGTTTCAACAATGATATGAAAGCACGTATTGTTTATAAATAAAGAGGCTGGTTTGTCTCTTTTTATGCAACAAATATTTGTGGAATCCTCACAGGTTTTGCTTCTAAAACTTGGCTTTTAGAAAACTGTTCTGAGAAACAACTTTAAGTTTTAATATTTTCTCTAGAAATCAGCGATCTCATTACTTTGCAAAAATATGATGATATCATAATACTATTGTGGGCAAAAATCACTGCACAATTGAGTGTTTTTGTATTGGCTTCATCTTAATTTTAACAAGTTTTATACAGTGTTTATTAATTGAAAAATGTTATGATAATTACGCTGAGGGATGAATCCATGGGAGTTCATTATTTTTACTCTTTCATGTCGGTTTGAAAATTTCCACAGTAAAGTTTGTTTTTAAAACATACTTGATGTGTGTAGATTTCATACCAGGACAGCAGAATTTTAGGATTAACATTTTATGATGAAACTTGATTTTAATTACTTAATGATCAACTTTTCCAAATTAGTAAAATACATTTTACATTTGTTACATATTTCTGCAAGTTTTGAGTTACAATTAGTTCTTTCTGCATGTGAGAAACCTTTCACTAAGCATAAAATAGAAATCTGAAGACAGAAGACTGGATTTGAGAATAATGTGATCACTTAACAGCTGAACAAATCAGTTGACCTGTTTGAATTTCTCTTTCCTGGCCTTTAAAGTAAGAATTTCAGTGTCTGCATTAACTGTGTCATAATGCAAAGGAGAGCTTGAAACAAGGTAAAATGAAGCATTCTATAAATGCTGCTAGTGCCTTTTAAACATGCTCAGGACAATGCTAGGAAAGAGGCCCCAGAAGGTAGGACACCTTTGTACTAGATTGCGCAAGACAAATACTGTACTTAGAATGACAACCGGAAACAAACGTGGAATCTGTGAAACCTGTTTCCACATAGATGCTGTTCAACACGTTTGAGCTCTGGACAAATGCTTATTTGTGTCACAGTGCTGCCTATGCAATGAATTAATGGCCATATTTAAATACGCAAAACTTAGGGCTGGGGATTTAGCTCAGTGGCAAACGCGCCTGCCTGGCAAGTGCAAGGTCGTGAGTTCGGTTCCCGGTACTGGAGAAAAACCAAAAAAATAAAAAATAAAAAAAAAATAAATAAATACGCAAAAATTTCTCCAGCATTCTCATCAAGCAGACACTGTTGGTTCCTCCATGAGTGGAGCATTAGAGCAACATGTGGGACATCTTTCTTTTTTTGGGAGGGCATGAACCAAAGACAGTCACTGTAATGAAAACTTATTGGAATGTATTTCTGATTCAACAGTAAAGAAATAATATTCAACACCTAACTTTGGGCAAAATATGTCACTTCAGAACTGCTCTGCAAATGTTTATTTTGCAAGGCAACAAATATACTGGTCCACTGCATTTCCTCACCAACCACACCTGCAGGTGCTATTCAGGAAACAGCCCAGGTCCAGCGCTTTTGACCACGGTAGGTACAGAAGAAGCTGAAAATAACATAAAAGATGGCGTCTTACACCAAAGCAAGGAGCTGCGATTGGATTTTGATAGTGTTCTTTTGATAAAATTGTCTGGAATAAATATACATATATAGTCCAGAAGAGTAGCATTATGTAAGAAAGGCTTAAAAATGTTGATCTTCTTTTAGACATTAATTTCAAGCTATTTTTTTATTTAACATATGGTACTGTTAAACAAGTATAGTATGCTGAACAGTTGCCTTCCACATTTCTTTAATAAGGGCATATTTTATCAAAATGTGCATAATAGATTGTAGTTCGGCTTCTGCGAAGACATGCAACTATTTAATATTTACATTAAAAGGATTGCCTCAGAAGAAACACCCAATCCATATTTCCCCTTAAAGAGTAAAAAAATATATTTATAAGGTAGACTATATTATCAATATTTACTTCTATTTTAGATGACTAACATTTTGGACTTCTGTTGGTTTCCACACTATCATGCAAATTTCTGGCTTGCTTTAACACGATAGTCCTACTTTTGTCACTATTATTATATGGTATACGCATTTTAAATTGTTCTCTTCGAAAATATCACCAGGCAGTTCAGAATATCTCATTTATTGAAAATACTGTGACAATCAAGGACCTTAATATCAGCCAGATGTTAACAATGGGAACAGGGCAGTATTTAATAATGGAATGGATGGGATTCTCATTTGTACTGATCCACTGAAATGTTTTCTACCCAAGCTATATATTTTGGAGAAGCACAGTTAGATATAGTTATCACTAGGAAAAAAAAAAAAAACTACTCTTAAGTTCAGAATTTCTTAGTACTAAATACTAATCAATACACATCTTATATATAATATGTACAGACTTTATCAAGTGCCACACAACTAGGCCACACATATTAGTTACCTCGGTTTTCAAAGGTTATGTGTTAACTCTGCATATCGTGTGGCAAGGAGATACTATCAACATTATTTTTTGCATAATGTGCAAGTATTATATGGCCACAGAGTGTAATACAAATTAGTGGCAAAGTGCTGAGTGAAGGAATCCACGACAGATTCAGATGCACAAGGTTGACTATTACCCGTAAACTACCTGACTCTGCTAAGGTCTTTAACAGCACAAAGCACTATGTCATAGGCCCAGCTTTCAAAAGTGTCTGGAATACTTGGACACAGTGAAACTTGTTAAAGGAATTTCAAGCAACAAACAAGAGCGATGGCAAGGGTGATAAATGACACTGGGGGAAATGATAGGATCACTTGGACAAATCTCTGAAAAAACCTGCTGTCTTCCCTGAAAATTATTTTGCTCACTCTATCATGACCATGGTTATTAATATGCACTTTAATTAGCAAAAAATCATGCTGACTTTAAAATGTTAAAGTTTTAAATGTTAAAAAGTTTTTTAATGCTAAAAAAAAATTAAAGCAAAATTTGACTTCTTCTGTTTGTCTTTGAAAACATTTCAAAAAGAATTTAGGTTATTAAAAATGTAAAATTGTACTTGCAACCCTATTTGTTCCAAAAATTTATTAAACTTCCTATCTATCTGACACCTTATGTTAAGTGTTGGACTGGTTTTAAAGAAGACATCAATTCTACTTGATGCTAATCTATGCCTTCTCTCTTGAACTTAGGGAAAGAAGATACATTTTTATCTTAATGGCATACTAGTTTCTATTTTAATGCGTGAAATTTAGTTGCTATTTTCTTAATTCAAATTCCTTTGGCTCAAATAATTACTCTTCTGAACTCTAACGAACAAAGTTTGGAGTTTTTTTTCTCATAAAAAGAAAGCAGTTTGCAACAAATCAGCAGCCTTCAGATTAGCCGAGCTGTGCTTCAAAAGTAAATGGAACTTTGAAGATTTATCAAGAGTTCTCAATGATCCCATTCAGTTCCTTAAGTAAAAGGTCAATTTTAAAGTTGTCCAGTTGCCTACCAATGAGCTCCTTGGGGCTTGTGCAAATGGTAGGCAAAACAAGAAAGGGCGACTGCCGAACCCCACCTCCAGGAACCCAGATACCCCTAACATGTAGGGTGCTGTAAGAAGAGGAAGCAAAAGATAAAAAGACAAACAAAAAGCATCAAGAACTGCAACGCTGGTCTGAATCCTGTGATCATATTTACTAAGGTTGTATGTTGCAAGAATTTTAAAGATTGTGATGAAATTCCAGGTATGTTATTTTCTTCATGTAGTCTTAGTTATGACATATGCAGTGAACTGAGCTACTTTCTTAAAAGCAAAACAAGGCTTACTAAAAGGTTATAACACACTTTCCATTTTCTATTTTATGTTACTATTTAATGGCCTTTAAAAATATACGTTAGCTTAAGGAAAAGTGCTGTCATACTTGAAAGACTGTGAAATAAAAGTAGATGAATCAATTTTAATTAATTAACTATTAAAGACTAGATTCACGTTTCTGCTGGAGTCTTCATTGCCCTATCTCTGTTTATTAAGCAAAATGTTAGCCCCAAACAGGTTACTATCATCACTGTAAAATTTCACACCTATTAAAAATGAGCATATGTTTGTGATTTAAATTTACAGTGTTCCAAGTGACTTTTCAGTTGTCCTTTTTAAAAATCAGTAAAATATCTCCAAGTATTAACATGCATCTAAATGAGGGCCGTCCTTTGACTTTGTTATAGCTATTTCACATAAGCAGACAAACCCTACTATGTCATACCATACAAACAATTTTAATTGTGTAGTTACAGTCAATAACCACTCCTATTCAGAACATTTCTGCATAAAGAAAATTGTGATACACTTATAAAAACAGCCAGCTGTAACAAAATAGCTGGTGTTTTCATAGCCATAAACTCATAAAAAAGAAATACACCTTTATACAGAAATTTTATACAGATGTAGCTTTAAAATTGATTGTAAACCAAAGGAAGACACATTGCAAACATCAATTATTTTCACATTAATTGCATAATTTTCTAAGGTGATCTATTAGTTTATTTACCTAAGCTTATTTGCATGATAGTAAAAATTGCATACAACAGTAAGAGTGAAGCTTATAGTATGAATTGCTTGGATAACATAGAGCACTTTTTATAGGCAACTGTGTAAAGCACATTTTCTCTATTTAAAACTTTTAAGACACTTTGTTTTACTGCCCATCAAAATACATTTATAAATAGAAAAGAATCAGTATGGTAACAAGAGAAGCAATATTGCGTTTAACGGAAACTTCCAAAAAATTAATTACAACATGACGCTGCAGGATCTACAAATAAATAATGAGGACTAAATTGTGTTTCACATTTTCTTTTCCTTTTTTTTTTTCTAAAAAAAAATATCATGTAACAATGAGAATGAAAAAAATTACAGTGAACTTTTATTCCCAAAATAAAAACAAATTTGAATTACGGCAGTGCCATATAATACAAGGCATTTGTTGGCATATGTCATCTTTAAACTGCATTCCACAGTCTATAGTTCTTTTGTAACATACAATAGAGGAGCAAGTTCTTTTTTTTTTCTTTTTTAAAATAAGGTGTGAGTTTTCAAAGATCAGTGTGAAGTGTTACAGAAATAACTGAAGAATAGGAAATCATAATCACAGAAGTTATAATGCTTGTTTGAGGCTCCAGAATAATAATAATTTAAAAAAATCTCTGGAATCATGCTTATGGGGTACACACCTTAGTGCAACCCTTGAACACAAACTTTAATACCAAACAATCCTCGATGCTTCACCTGGGACTGCCAAGCAGTTTATAAAACAGAGCAAAACATTTAGTGCAGTCTGTACTATCCTTTCCCAACTGTTCTGTTTGTGCAAGTTTCTGAAGATTCATTGGTCAAACAATGAACAACAAAGGTTTTCTGAACAAATACAAGGTGGACTTTCATTTTATTAGTAAATACCAGTGGCACTGTTGAATGAAAATAATACTATGATCTCTCAGTCTTTCAAATCAGCATTAATGTCTGTGTTTCCTTCCACTGATAGCTCTTCTTCTAGTTTCACTGAGAAAAGGGTGTTAGCATTTTTATCTAGGACACTCTCTTCTAAATCCTTCAGCAACTCCTCCTCTTTATATTCTGCCACATCCACTTCCAGCCCCGAGTTGTCCTTCAGTTTGCCATGGTGCTTGAGATAGTACCGCTGGTTCTGGAAGAACTTGATGATGGTGTACTTGGGGAGGTCGAGCTGGGCTGACAGAGTCTGGATAGCCTCCTCGTCTGGGTATAGGCCCACGTCTTGTATGAAGCTCTGGAGGATGCCCAGGGCTTCCACTGAAATTTTGGTTCGTGGCCGGGTCTTCTGCCGGTTCTCCTCATCAGACTCAGCGGGCGAGGCCACGGTGGGCTGCCGCGGGGGAAGCCGGGGGCCTGCCTGTGCCTGTGGCTGCGGCTGCGGCTGCGGAGGGGCTGGTGGCTGCTGCTGCTGTTGCTGCTGTTGCTGCTGCTGCTGCTGAAAAGAAACAAGCAATCAGAAGCTCTGTTCCGGCATCGCACACAAAGCCGTCTAGAATTAGAAAGGAAGTACTTGTGAGCCCCACGTATACAGTGGCTTCTTTAACCAGAACAAAGATTCAGGGTGAAAAGTCAGGACAGCTAAGTGGCCCATAGCATTCAGGACAGAAAAAAACAAAGCGACACGAAGTAGGAAGATACAAATTAGTACAGCTCTCAGGGGCTACTGTGCTTGCTTATCAGCATCAGCAGAGGAGGAGAAAACTGAGCACTCTGAAAATGTGACACATAAACTTCACCAGGACATACGCATCAAAGGCGAAGACAGCAAAGCAAACTATGATGTAAATAATTAACAAAGATGTGAAATGAAGATTGAGAAGCGAGTATTTCAAAGACATTCTAGAAAGGTGAGCTACAGGGGAAAGAAAGTTGTGTTTTGTCCCCTTTCATCGGATGGCTAAAACATTGAGCAAAAACAGAAGAAGAGCACCTGCTCTCGTTTAGCACTGTGTCTTACAACAAGTCCAAAGGATGTTCGAGAGGCTCCCGTTTGTGAATTTTCTATCAGACAGTTCCAATTAAATACACGCAATTCCTTTCAAATTGCACTAGGGTGACTTTCATGTTTTTTCTTAACCAAAAATAAAGGTTCATTCCAAACGACGGCTAGCAAATTGTTTTGTCTACAGTAAACTCAGATGTGATTAGGATTTAAATTTAGTGTATACACTTTCTCATAATTAGTATCTGTATATGTGCTGTAATTTCCATGCACAATTATACATAACAAATGTGTGACACATCCGTCTGCTATATGCTCGATATCCGTAATTCTTACCAGCAAAGTAAATCGGTCTGAATATGTGGCAAAATATTACATTTGTACTATGCTTAAGCATTTCCTTTTATCCCAAGAAGCAATTTTATTAAAAACAATTTACATTTCCAAACAAGTCCTATTTTTATTACTTAACATATATCTTTCTTTTGTTTTTTGCTAAAACAGTAAGGTTTTCAGGCTTTCACGATTATTTTAGTGCTTGATATCCTCAGGGATTTTCTTTTCCAATTTGTTTTATCTTTAATACATACTCAAGGATATTTTTTCCTGGTGGGTGGGTGGGTGGAAGATGAAGATGTATGTGTGTATGTGTGTGTTTCTTTGTTTATTTTCCACAGTAATACTAAAAAGTAATGCAGATGACTGAACAGAGAGTACAATTTTAAGGACTCAGGAAGGCAACAGCTAAACACATCCCTTGGATTCGACAGAAATAAGTTATACAGCTCACATTCAGTTAAAGCATGCCTTCTTAAGCTACTGAGACCACAGGAGTCCCAACAAAGTGCCTGGTCCCAGAATCTGTCAATGTGTTCTCAGGGATGGTCCCTCAGTGGATGGATGGAGACAAGTTCCTTGACAGGACATAGCAAGCACAAAGCTGGACCTGCTAGCACAGGGCTCTTTGGCCACTGCTGTGGTAACACCTTCACACATCTGGAAGTTCTGAGTAAGGGAGCAGGTCATTATGCTACCCGGGTCTCTCTTTCTTGCAGGATAGGTAACGTGCCTGCTCAGCTGAGGGGCAGCACTAAAACACGGTGCAGGGGCCGGCAGGCCTGGCAAGTAAAAGCCTCTAGACTCCTTTCCCAAGCACGATGGGAGAGGGGCTCTAAAGGAAAGAGCAACGGACACGGCTCACCCCTCACCTGCACTCTGAGGGTGTAAGGAGACAGCCACAAGCTCAAGGGAGTGTTGAGGAGCTTAAAGCAGGAGTCCAGTTAGATTTCCCTCCCCTCTCTGGACAGAATCCAAGGCATAAAATTGTGATTCTACAAACTTCCTCTATAGAACAGCAATAATTTCTCTCCTCGGGGGCAGTAAGGTATTAATTAAAAAATGGGTGATGTTTCAAATGCTGAATTTTGAAAACAAAGAATTTCTAAGCATTCACAGACAAATCCCAACACTGACAAACACGCGTGCCGAACAACAAGTGAAAAGGGGGTTTCTGCCACCGTAGGGGTGGGGACGCGAGGGGAGAACACAGAGCCCACGCTGGTAAAAATATGTTAATTTTCCTTTCAGCCCCCTGAGCAAGATGGTAGTATATTGTTATCTTTCACTAAAAAGCCTATGTTTAGACTGGCAGGAAGGAGAGAAACGCTAATTTCCCTGCTAAGTTTAAAGCTTATTTACTTAGTGCTATATTGAATTGGCCAAGGTAAACGAACCTGAATCTGCTCTGCTGGAACATGGATGATGTGGGGCGGCCTGTCGCCATGGTGATGCACAGCACTGCTTTCCTGTTCATAGATGGCATCCCGCTCTGGCTGAGGAAGACTGAGGAACCTCCGGATCATGGACAGGTTCTCCCACAGGGTCCTGTTCTCGGGAGAAGGATCTTCCTTCCAGCGTAACAGCTCACACAACCATCCCTTCGAGATAAGGGAATAATAGGTCAATCCATGTTTATGGGGTGGAGGCTGGCATTTTCCATTAGGAGCTAAGAAGGAAAGACCCCACAAGTTAACTTTTCCGTATGTTCACAGCACTCCAGACTGCTTTAAAAAATTTCTTTTACCCTGTTAGAAAGGGCAGCTCTGGCTGCTGAAAAAGCAGGCTCTATGTCTCAGCATTCGGATTTGTACCCTGAAGTATGAACATTATTTTTCACACTCCAAACACAAGACAGTATTTACCATGCGATGCTGCAACACGTGAAACAGGAGAACAGCGAAGAGGTGCGCTTGTACTCTCGCCCAACCCCTGGTCTGAAGGTGGCCGCCTGGGAACACTGAAGGTATTTAAGAGGAGGTGGAAGAAATTCTAGGAATACACTTTTCTAAAAGGCTTTCCTAATCAGATACTTTTTGTAGCAGAAAGAAAGCTGCATGAAAATCTGTGTGTGTGTGTGTGTGTGTGTGTGTGTGTGTGTGTGAGAGAGAGAGAGAGAGAGAGAGAGAGAGAGAGAGAGAGAGAAAGAGGAGGAGGGGCATGTGCAACTGTGTGAGCACAAACAACGTTCCGTGTCAGCATAATGGTTATTAGAAGGGGCATTAGAAGAACACCCATTTACCCGAATTACCTGAACGAATACTGACTAAATTTAATAATCATCTTCTCCAAGGAAGAGCTTTCAAAAGAAGACTTCAGAGTTCTACTTTTTTGCCTGCTGCAAAAGGAGCACAGGATTTATGAGGTAAGAATTTTAATAGGTTTTCTGGGGTAAGAGAGAAGGAAATGTCCAATGAATGCCAAAATCTGAACCTGAGATACCCTGAACCCCACATGGTGATCCTAGGGTTATTAAGAACTGAGGCGTCCTTCACTCTGGTTGCCACGATGGACACAAAATAACAGGGTAGAGAAGAAAGAGGAAGGTTTCCCACCCAGATATCCCTGACCAAGGCAGTCATCCCTCGGGTGGTGTGTTGCCTGCTAACAGCTATGAGCTGTATCTGCTGTGGAAAAATATCATGCAGCCACCACACCTATAGATATGACTAGGAAGGCTGCTCTACTTCCTGCCAGGTCCCAGCAGTGACTGGCTGACCCTACTGTAAAAGGCCCCACCACCAGCCCAAGTGAAGAGCTCACTCTGCCCTTCAAGTTACTCTCTAGAGACAGTCATCCCACCATTCTTTTGTTCCCTTCCCCTCCTTCTAGGCCTAGTTGTTATCTGAGGCCATATTCTTATTGGACCCTCCTCCTCCCTATCCTTCCTCCCTCCTCATCAAATCCTAAGCACCTGATTCCATATCCAAGGGTCTGCTCTAAGGGAACCTGACCCAAGATAAAGGGGTTTCTTGAACATTTCAGTAAGTTAAGTTGATGTGAATGGACACAGTAGTGTCTTCAGCTATGTGATTTTAAGATTTAATGAGGGAGGGTTTCATTCGACTTTTTATAGTACTGCGTGATGCAACCAAAACATGGTATGAATTTTCTTCCTTCCTCAAATGGAACCATTAGAATATTCTTCTGAATGTATACACAGTGGAAAGAATTGAGGTCTGCTCTCCCCAAAATGGCCAAGCTGAGAGACTGTAAAGGAAACATGGAAACTGACACATTAGATTCCCACCTACTAACCAGCTAACAGAGACTGCTGCCAAAACCTCGAGATCAGCCAACTTTTCTAAGTGTTGTGAGTCTCTAATCAACAAGTATTTTAATTAAACAAATATATATACGGGGATGGCCATGCAGTCCTGCACTCATTCAATGCCACTGAATGTACAATTTAAGGTGAAGAGAGCAGGCAGTAAAATTAAGATTTTTCTGAAAGAACACTAGCTAAGTAAAATTTTTTAAAAAATCATCTCTGGGGGCTGGGGATTTAGCTCAGCGGCAAAGCGCCTGCCTGGCAAGTGCAAGGTCGTGAGTTTGGTTCCCGGTACCGGAGAAAAACCAAAAAAAAATAAAAAAAAAAAAAAAAAATAAAAAATCATCTCTGTTATGAAGTGTCACTGAACAGGTTTCTCTTCTAACCACAGCAATTTTATGCTTACTCCCAGTATATTGTAAATAAACTAAATTTATGTGAATACAGTATTATTCACCTAACAGTATTTGAAGCACCTGCATATGGTGCCCTAGAGACATTTATTTAGCTTTTATGGATAAATATTTGCTATCTGAATTAAGCAAAGTACCATATATTTTCATACATCTAAGCTATTTTGTTATATTTCTAAATTTTATTGCTGTGTAGGTTTTAGATACATATCTTCCCATAGGCTTGAATATTAACTGTGGTGAAGAATATTTTCTCTTTCCCCCTTCTCTGCATCCTTTGGCTATGACAACTGACAGGACCCCTATATACCTGAACACAGAAAATCATACAATTTTATTTATCTTTCAAGAGAAGTTAGAAGGTTCATTAAGGGCAGAGCAGAAAAGATTTTTTTAAACCTAGCTAGTAATCTACTATTGCAATAAATGCTAAATATTGAGATTCCACAAAATTTTTTTTTAGAAATAAATGGCTGTAACTAAAAATTGCTAAAAGTTAAATTAAGAATGAATCATGCAAGAAAAGCTTCTTGGAGAGAACTGAAAAATTCCAATAATTTTTCAACAGCCTTTAGAGACTTTTAAAAGTAACATAGAGATCAGTTAACACTTGGATGTATGTGAAAAAAAACATGTGGATCACAGATGTTCTTTGGAAAAGAAAATCATTAGTTCTTTTAAAATGGCTAATAATGACAGCTAATTCCTAAACAATCATACTCATGCTGGTTTAACAAATATTTCAGAAAAAGAGGTCTGACTCATTCAACAAATATTTTGCTTATATTGTCACTTCTGCATCTCTATACTTATAAGACAGATCCTTATTTTTATTAATTGCCCATGACTAACATAACATTTCCAGTAGTTTGCTATTAACCTCTGCTCTTAAATAATACTTCTAATTCCTTATCTAAAAATAATTCGATGAATTACAAGTTGAAGCATGTCTCCGCTAGCCTTTTAAGAGACACGATGATTTTAAGAGACTGAAATCAGATGCTTCTTAGAAAAAATTTTAACGGTGCAGCTGGAAACTGTTAGTTCTACAAGGGTATTCAAAAAAAAAAAGTGGTGGGGGAATGCTTTGCTTGATAGGCATCTCTCTTAAGAAATGGGAAAAAAAATAATGGAAAACAAATATTTTCTCACATTGGTCCTTTGTCAGCTTGGAATAAATGGGTTCGTTCCCAATTTGCACTGGCAAAAGTAAGGTTAATTCCTTCTAATACTATTTAAACACCTTGGAATATTCTATTAAAATCCTATCAATTGTGACTCTACTAATAATGACATGTAATTAATCTATGTTGTACAAGAAGTGACTAAAAATACCAAATGCTTTCTAATTTCCCACTATCTTTTTAGGTGAGTTTTCTGTATAAGATATTCTTCAAGCAAATAAACTCAGAAAGACAAGGCAGAGGTCAGAACATTGGCAGTATCTGACCAATACATAGAACAATTCCCCAAAGTACTGTGCTTTTCAAACGGTAACTGTATAGATTTACTTGGGATAAGAACTACAGGGAATGAAATGCAATACTTTGCTGCAAAATGTGAACATCACTGTTTTTAAGAGAAGTCACTGGGACTTGATGTACTTTAAAATCACAGGCAGGCGCAGTGGGAAACTACTCTCAAAATTAAATTAGATCACAACTGTCTTGAACAGCAGAAAAAAACAGGAGACTAACAACAGTCTTAAAATAACAAGACCCCTCCATTCTCAGAAAACTAAAATGGTACAAGGAACAACCTAAACTTTAAATGTAGTAAATTTGCCAAGCATCATTACACTGCATATAAAGAGGGCAAAATATAAACAGTAGCCACATGTAAATAAATTAGTGAAACTTTCAGGATGTTACTACTTTTCAAACTGACAAAGTTTAATTTGACACCTTCTGTTCTAAACCCTTTGTTTCTATTCAAAATCACGCCTTGAGCTGTTGCTATCAATCACAGCGCTCCCTCTATTACTTAAAAAAAAAAAAAAAAAAAAAACTGGCATGGACCCTGAATAAGCTGAAAATGCCATGCAGATGAATTCTGAGATAATGTGTTCAAACCTGTTACATACAACACAAATCCTGTAAAGTTATGTATTGTAAACCTACATTTATTGAGAACTAAAAGTCTTAAATCCATCTGCCACAAAGGAAATACTGTTATGTACTTTATAGTAACCAAGAACCATCTGCAAATGTCTTGCTACCATAAGCAAGACAGTGGTGCAAAAGATGCTAAACCTAAGACTGAAATAAATAACTTTCTTTTGACTGATTGTGGTTAGGGCCTTATTAAGCAAATGTAAGATTTAAAAAAAAAAAAAAAAAAAAGTAAAAGAGAAAATGCAGAATGACTGCCAAACCAGTACTGCAAAAAGCAAAACAAACTCAATGACAACACAATGACAATTTATTATGGTCCATGAAACACATGACTGTATGCTCATTTTAAAGGGAAAATTAGCAGTTCTAAACTCAATATTCTAATGATGTGCTTTACTGACAGAATCTTGTTGTACCACATTTAAATAAAAATCCTGGCACCTTCATCTCTCAGCTGTTAATTTCCAATCAAACTCCTCTCTGATTTCCACTCTACTCTTTTTAGAACAGTTAATTCAAGTCAGTTCGTTTCTAACATTTGAACAGATAAGGATGCACAATGACTTTACTTGAGTCAGGGAAGTAACATCCTCTGACAAATTAATTTATTGTATCTATGAAGCCTCTCACACATAAAGAGAGAACCCTTACAACGCCTGGTCTGTGACACAGCTGCAAGTTAATAACACAACTAGTTTTCCAGGGGAAAAGAGATTTTAGTATTCTCTGAGGGGAAAAAAGTCATTTAATGTAATATACATATATGTATATATTACCATTATGTACATATACGTTTTAAAACT